AGTCATCTTAATTTGGGTTCGTGTTTTGTGTGTGTGTGTGTGTAAGGTTCAGCAAATGTATTGCCCATATAGGGTCTACATCAATTTGGTCAATGCCAAGGTTTTCTCTGAAATAAATAGTAATCTAGACAAGGCATTATTGCAAAAAATTCCCATTTTTGTTATTAAAGTGTATGGATATTAACTCATGTTAGCTCTTCATCCGTGATGTATTCATATTTGTAAGAAAAAGAAAAGTAATCTTGGAGAACTTCCACATTACAGCCATTTTCCACTACTTATAAACATGATTTTTCATATGTTCCTTCTCAAATTTATATTAAACTATTACATACTAAGACATTATAATAGCTATAGAGTCATTTCTATAGTTTTGTAAAGACAATTGTACAAGTTTATTTTAGGCAAACTAAGAAAGTAAGCTAACTGAAAAAAAAATTGTCTTGAAAATAGAATTGCACAGCAATGACAGGAGCATTGGTCTTTTTGATGCTTTCATAGAAGCTGACTGCCACAATATATCTTTCTAAACTTTCAAAGGCAGATAATATAATTGTATAATAATAGCCAATCAAATCTTTTCTCTGATTTGGATTCAACATCTATTGTAATCCTTACTGAAAATATTACATGGGCCGGGCTCGGTGGCTAATGCCTATAATCCCAGCACTTTGGGAGGCCAAGGTGAGCAGATCACCTGAGGTCGCGAGTTCAAGACCAGCCTGACCGAGATGGAGGAACCCTGTCTCTACTAAAAATACAAAATTAGCCAGGCATGGTGGCGCATGCCTGTAATCCCAGCTACTTGAGAGGCTGAGGCAGGAGAATCATTTGAACTGGGGAGGTGGAGGTTGCAGGGAGCCAAGATTGTGCCATTGCACTCCAACCTGGACAACAAGAGTGAAATCCCATCCCATTTTTCTCTCTCTCTCTCTCTCCATATATATAAGTGTATATTACATGGTGCTCAGTAAACAGAACAGGTTCCTTATCCACAACATCTGTTTCCTTCTCTCATTTGCTCAAATCAGGTGCCTCATTGGCCCACTCAACAGATTTTATCTAGACAGAGCGTAGAGAACTGCACTGTGTCAGCTGCCTTAAAGGGGAATAGTAAACTATAAAACAGCTTAGCTATTATGTGCAATTGGCTACTCATCAACAGAGTACCCCACCACTCATATTACCTGTGATCTAGCCACTTTTGTTTTGGTGTCCTCCTGTGGGACAAGCAATATGGGGAGCTGACAATATACTGATCATGCTTTTGCTGTCTATGTAAGTAATACAGTGTCTGAATATATTTGGGCTAATGTTTTATGTTTTTCCAGCTTAATATGTCAGGCAGCTTAACCTAAAGATGTGTGGTAAAGATTCCAAGTTCTACAGCCAGATAATCTGAGTTTACATCCCAACTGCTATGGTTTGAATGTTCATTGCCTCCAAAACTCAATTTGAAAGTTAATTGACATTGTAACAGTATTAAGAGTTGGGACATTGGAAAGGTCATTAGGCTATAGGGACTGTGCCCTTATGGGTGATATTAATGTTATTATAAATGGGCAAGTTTGGCTTCCTCTTTTACGCACTTGTCTTTCCACCAGCCACCATGTAATGACCCAGAAAGAAGGTCCTTGCCAGATGCTGTACCTTGACCTTGAACTTCCCATTCTCTAGAACTTTGAGCTAATAAATTTCTGTTCATTATAAATTACCCAGTCCCACTTTTTGAAAGATGACATACAGCCAACAAGCACTAATGCAAATCAAAACCATAATGAGATACCATGTCACACCAGTCAGAATGGCTATTATTAAAAAGTCAAAAAATAACAGATGCTGATGAGGTTGCAGAGAAAAGGGGACACTTATACACTGTTGATAACAGAGGAAATTATTTAAACCATTGTGGAAAGCATGTGGCAATTCCTCAAAGAGCTGAAAGCAGAACTACCATTTGACCCAGCAATCCCATTACTGGGCATATACCCAGAGGAAAATAAATCAGTCTACCAAAAAGACACATTCACTTCACTTGTATTTTCATCACAGTGTTATTCACAATAGCAAAGACATGGAATCCACCTAAATGCCCATCAAGAGTAGACTGGATGAAGCAAATGTGGTACATATACTCCATGGAATACTGTGCAGTCATTAAAAAAAACAAGATCATGTCCTTTGCAGGAACATGGATGGAGCTGGAAGCCATAATCCTCAGCAAACTAATGCAGGAACAGAAAACCAAATACTGTATATTCTCACTTGTAAGTGGGAGCTAAATGGTAAGACCATATGGCCACAAAGATGGGAACAACAGAAATTGGGGCCTACTTGAGGGTGGAGGGTGAGAGAAGAGAGGTGAACAGAAAAGAATAACTATTGGGTACTAGGCTTAGTGCCTGGGTGAAGAAATAATCTGTACAATAAATCGCTGTGATATGAATTTACTTATATAACAAACCTCCACATATACCCCTAGACCTAACATTAAAAGTTTTAAAAATAAAATAAGATAAATGAATAACCCAGTCTCAGGTATTCTATTATAGCAGCACAAAATGGAGTAAGATATAACCCTCTCAATTTTGAGCTATGTGATTTTGCCCAAGGTACAAATAATCTTTCTGTGCCTTGATTTCCTAATATTATTCATTGTTATCTAAGCCTCGATGATGGTAAAAGAGCAAGTTTACTGTGTCAAATAACTAGTCCAGTAACATCGTAAAACAAGCTACCCGACTTTTTTCGTTAGCCATCACATATTAATTTAAGTGGCTATTTTTCACTAGCCATTATACACAATAGGATGACTTTTAAGGAATGGAACCATGAAACCACCTTATTGTAAGTACTGGAGTAAAGGACATGTGGTCAATGAGTAATATGCACAATAAGCCTTCCAAGAGCTCAGAGGGGAGAGGGACCACTTTGCTCCCAGGCCATAGTGTGAGTACAGTCTGTATATTTTCCTCATTTAAAACCTAATCAGTTTGAGCGAAGCCATAGTTGTCTTCCCTAACTATTCCAGAAATAGGTCAACCATTCCTTAATAAAGGATTTTTTATTGATTTCCAGCACCAACATTATAATGGTAAATGATTCTAGAAATGCATCAATTATCCTCTACAGTGAAAACCATTTTCAGGTACCAACATAATAATGATAAACTCATAAATTATACAGTATAAACACACAATATATAAGTCATATATTCTTGTTCATTATGTGAAATTTACTTTCACTAAAATGTTTATTATATTCTGCTCAAAGAATACATGCTCATTGAAAATTTTGAAGAAGAGAGGGAGCCAAGATAGCCAACTAGAGGCAGCCAGAAGGCACAAGTCCCACTGAGAGACAGGAACATTGGGAAGACTGGCACACGCTGAGCAGATCTTCAAAGGGAAGGCATTGAGAGTGGATGAAAGGAGGGCGCAGACCCTGGACTGAAAGGGTAAAAAGTGTATGGCCCTTTCCCCTCCTCCCCCGATGGCACACATGTGTGCACACATCCAGCCTCCCACCATGTTGGCATGAGCACACCCTGCCACTCTCACCAACACGACCAGCGCCCCACTCCCACTGAGGCACAGGCAGCCCACTGCACCGCTTCCACTGCTGCAGTGCTAATGCATGCACAGGTGCCAGAACCACACCCATACTGATGCCCTGCCCCTGCCATGCCATGTCTGCCATGCTGCCCAGACCCCACCCCCATGTGGGCACCCCTCCATGCCATTCCATTTGCTCGCACAAATAAGTGAGCACAGATCTGGCTGGCACTGCCTGGATGAAACACTTTAGCCAGCACTTCCCCATCAAAGTATTGTGGCCTACAGAGCAGATCACTTCCGCCTCTCCAACAAAACAGGTTTCAAACCTCAAGAGGCAAGGAATGAAAGTTGGGAGTCTAGAACCAGCCCCCCAGAGTTAGAGTATGCCAAATCTACCAAACAAATGGAAAACACAAAAAAGGAGGAATTGCTCTTCTACTTTCAGATGAAACAGAGTTTAAACCAACAACAATCCAAAACGACAAAGAAGGGCATTACATTGTGTTAAAAGATTCAATTCAACAAGAAGACTTAACCGTATTAAATATATATGCAGCCAACACAAGAGCACCAATATTCATAAAAGAAGTTCCTAGAGACCTACAAAGAGACTTAGATAACCACAGAATAATGGTGGAGAACTGAAACACCACACAGAGTATTAGAGAGATCATTGAGGTAGAAAACTGACAAAGATATTTGGGACTTGAACTCGACGCTTGACCAAATGGACCTAAGAGACATCTTCAGAACTCTCCACTCAAAAACAACAGAATATACGTTCTTCTCATTTCCACATGGCACACACTCTAAAACTGACCACACAATCAGCCATAAAACAATTTTCAGGAAACGTTTTCAAAACCAAAATCATATCAAACATACTCTCAGACCACAGTGCAATAAAAATAGAAATGAATACTAAGAATGTTTCTCAAAATCATACAATTACATGGAAATTAAACAGCCTTTTCTCTCAATGACTTTTGAGTAAACAATAAAATTAAGGCAGAAATCAAGGAATTCTTTGAAACAAATGAGAACAAAAATACAACATACCACAATCTCTGGGACACAGCTAAAGTGGTGATAAGAGGAAAGTTTATACTGCTAAACGCTCACATCAAAAAGTTAGAAGAATCTCGAATGAACACTATCAAGGACACTTAAAAACATTATCACACATGTACCCTAGAACATAAAGTATAAAAAAAAAAAAGAAAAAAATAACACCATATTTTATATTATTACCCACCATTCCTTACTCTATCTAAATTTACCTGTTAATCCTTACCAAGACCAAGAAAATGTATTTATTTTAACTAGTTATCTCCTCTAGTACATTATAAACTCCGTGACCTTGGGGCTTATCCATGTCTTTGTTCACCAAACAAAATAGTAAACATAGCAGAGCAGACATCCAATAGCTATATATGTTTTTTACAAAATATCTGACCTGATTATCAAATAATCAGTCAGAGAGTTTAAGTTGGAGTGAGATTATCATATATCCAAAAGCTATTTTTGAATAAATGAATATATGAGTAATAAACAAAGAAACAAAAAACTAATGCTCTACAGGAAAGGTCAGCAAACTATGACCAGCCCACATTCTACTTTTGTCCATAAAGTTTTATTGGAACACACACAAAAAACAAACAAAAAACATTATCAAGGGAAAAGCAAACAACCTTATTAAAAAGTGGGCAAAGACATGAACAGACACTTTTCAAAAGACAACATACACGTGACCAACAATTACATGAAAAAATGCTCAACATCACTAAACAGAGAAACGCAAATCAAAACCACAATGAGATACCATCTGACACCTGCCAGAATTACTGTTATTAAAAAGTCAAAAAATAACAGATGTTGGCGAGGTTGTGGAGAAAAGGAAATGCTTATACATTGCTGGCGAGAATAAAACTTAGTTCAGTCACTGTGAGAAACAGTTCAGAAATTTCTCAAATAACTTACGCAGAACTAGAGTTTGACCCAGCAATCCCAATATTGGGTATATACCTAAAGGATTATAAATCAATCTTCCATAAAGATGCATGCATATATGTTTATTGCAACACTACTCACAATAGTGAAGACATGGAATCAATCTAGATGTCCATTAATGATGAGCTGGATAAAGAAAACGAAGTACATATACAACATGGAATACTATTCAGCCATAATAAAGAATGCAATCATGTCCTTTGCAGCAACATGGTTGAAGCTGGAGGCCATTATCCTAAGGGAACTAATGCAGGAACAGAAAACCAAATACTGCATGTTCTCTCTTGTAAGTGGGGACTAAACATTGAATACACAAGGACATAAAGAAGGAAACAATAGACCCCAGGGCCTACTTGAGGATGGAGGGTGGGAGGAGGGTGAGGATCAAAAAACTACCTATTGGGTACTATTAATACAAGAGTTAATAAGAAATGATTTCAGGCAGACAGTAAGGGTAAAGGTTCTCAGTGGAAATTTTCCTGTAATAAGAAACAACCCCTGAACCATCTCTTTTCTAACAGAAACGCCGGCTTAAAGGGCTGGGCTGTCAAGCTTTGATATGCAAATGCCAGCCATTCGAAACTGGGTTCACCCAATATGGTGATTCCTGCCCTCTTCTTATCACCATCTGTGCCGAGTGTGATGGTCACCTCCAGATAACACCATGTGTTCAAAACATCACGACAACCCACATTTGCATATTAACGGACTAAGTTAGGAGGGCCAGGTTTTTGGCAAGCTACGTGAATGACACACCTGGGTCTAACCAATCCTCTGGGCCCTACGCAAACAAGATACCCCCTCCCCCAGCCTCCTGATATAATGATATATACCTTTCTGTCACACACGGGTTTCTCTTTGTTCCAAGTCCCCCGCTCTTGCCTCTGTATGGGAGAGCTGTTCTCTTCTTTCTTCCTTCTTTCTTGCCTATTAAACTTTTCGCTCCTTAAAACCACTCCACGTGTGTCTACGTTGTTAATCCTATCTGCACGAGACCAAGGAACCTGGTGTTCCTTCAGTCATCAGAGCTATATCATTTTGGTGCGTGGGCCTGGAATTCATTCATCAGAGTGGTGAGTATGGAGTGAATCTCAACTTCAAATCTGTTTTAATCTCAAGGCTGTCTTCCAGCTATCCTGTCGCAAAACTTTCCTTCTTTCCTTCTTTCTCTATCTGCAGTCTCTTACTCCCTGTGTGTTGAGTATGTGGGAATTTTTACCCAGGCAAGTAATCCTGTTAGGCAAGATCAGGAAATGCTATAGTACTGGGGAAATAGCTCAGGGAATGAATGGAAAAGGAAGTGTTTTTAATATGCAGTTTAGAAGCCCTACGGAAAACGAGGGCCAAACCTCTCAATTACTCTTAACTGTCTAGAATAGATCAAAAGCCAGGTGCGAATCATGAAGCCTTTATGGAAAGGCTGAGAGAGGCACTAATAGAACACACCTCTTTATCCCCTGATCCAGTCAAGGGACAGCTTATCCTGAAGGACAAGTTTATTACACAGGCAACTCCCAATATTAGAAGAAAACTACAGAAGCAAGCTGTAGGACCGAATAGCACTTTAGAGAACCTCCTAAAGGTGGCCACTTCAGTCTCATAATAGGGACCAGGAGGAGGCCCAAAAGAAAGAAGGACAGAGGCACTAGCAGAAGCTCTGCAGGCTTGCAAAGTCCAGGATCCCCGAGGTGCATCCGCTAACTGCTATTGGTGTGGCAGACTAGGGCATTTTATTTTATTTTTTATGCATTTTTAAAATTACACTTTAAGTTCTAGGGTACATGTGCACTACATGCAGCTTTGTTACATATGTATACATGTGCCATGTTGGTGTGCTGCACCCACTAATGCATCATTTACATTAGGTATATCTCCTAATGCTATCCCTCCTCCCTCCCCCGACCTCACGACAGGCCCCGCTGTGTGATGTTCCTCTTCCTGTGTCCAAGTGATCTCATTGTTCAATTCCCACCTATGAGTGAGAACATGCGGTGTTTGGTTTTTTAACTTTCCGATAGTTTGCTGAGAATGATGGTTTCCAGCTGCGTCCATGTCCCTACAAAGGACATGAACTCATCCTTTTTTATGGCTGCATAGTATTCCATGATATATATGTGCCACATTTTCTTAATTCAGTCTATCATTGATGGACCTTTTTTTGGGTTGGTTCCAAGTCTTTGCTATCGTGAATAGTGCTGCAATAAACATATGTGTGCATGTGTCTTTATAGCAGCATGATTTGTAATCCTTTGGGTATATACCCAGTAATGGGATCACTGGGTCAAACAGTATTTCTAGTTCTAGATCCTTGAGGAATCACCACACTGTCTTCCACAATGGTTGAATTAGTTTACAGTCCCACCAACAGTGTAAAAGTGTTCCTGTTTCTCCACATCCTCTCCAGCACCTGTTGTTTCCTGACTTTTTAATGATCGCCATTCTAACTGGTGTGAGATGGTATCTCATTGTAGACCAGGGCATTTTAAAAAGGAATTCCCAGGCAGCAAGAAGAAGCCACCTCGACCCTGTTCAGCCTGTGGTGAAAACCACTGGAGACAGAACTGCCCCCAGAGGCGGAGGTCACTGGGATCGGGACCAGTCTTACAGATGGTACAGCAGGACCGATGGATCCCAGGGCTCAAACGGCTCCAGCAACTCAAACTGCCATCATAGCACAGGAGTCCCAGGTGATTCTGGAAATTGAAGAAAGGAAAGCAGACCTCCTTCTAAACACTAGAGCCAGTTTCTCTCTTTTTTTCTCTCTAATCCAGGTCTCCCCTCTTCCTATAGCCTGACCGTAATTGGCATCTCAGGAAAAATCCTAATCCAATAATTTTCTCCACTTTGGTTGTAGTTAGGAGGACCTATTTACAACATGCTTCCAAGCCATTGTCATGATAGCTCTATTAGTCAGAAAAGCCTCCAAGTTAACCCCAGGACATAATTGAACTGTTTACACCCCATATAGTGTGGCAGGATCACCGTTATCTGGTGGGAGCTCTTAGCTAGCAAACAGCCCAGTAAAGCAAGAAGTACGTAAGGCAGGATAAGCAGTAGTCACTGTCCCCAAACATAAGCACTCAATTAGCTGAGCTAATAGCTCTTACAAAAGCACTTAAATTAAGCAAGGGAAAGGTAACTAACATTTATACTGACTCCAAGTATGCCTTCCTGATTTTCCATGCTCATGCTGCCATTGAAAAGGAAAAGAATTTTCTTACCACTAATGGATCTACTATAAAATATCACTAGGAAACTAGCAGATTATTATCCTCAGTTTTTCTTGCATGACAGATAGCAGGGATGCATTATAGTGAACATCGGAAGGGAACAGATGAGGTAGCCAAAGAAAATAGATGAGCTGATCAGCCAGCTAAGTCAAAGGCAAGGAAGCCTCAAGGCACTAACACACTTCAAGCCCTTCTAATCTAGGAGGTCTCCATAAAAGAAATTAAACCTCAGTATTCCCCTGCAGAAATAGAATAGGCCACTTCTCAAGGGCATACTTTTCAGCTCTCAGGATGGCAAACTCTATTTGCCAGCCTCCAGCCGATGAAGGTCCTTAAAATCCTTCACCAAGCTTTTCACTGGAGAAAGGATAAAACTTACCAGTGTGCTCAGAGATTGTTTGCAAGCAGAAAACCTCTACATCGGTTAAGCATGTAACCTCTCTAGCTCACTTCCAACAAGAATGAACACAACTAGCAGAAGCCCAAGCCCGGGAAATAAAACCACCTTTCTTTAACCCAGGAAATTTGGTATTAGTGAAAATTCTCCTCTCTCTCCTTCCATAAGCCAACCTGGGAAGAAGGGACCGCCACTGTTCTTCTTTCAATCTTCTCAGCAGTAAAAGTTATAGGAATCAGCTCCTGGATACATCACACTCAATTCAAAGCCTGAAGAGCTGAGGGAGCAACCCTTGACAGCGCAGAGGAACACCCTGAATATCAATGTGGAGAAATAGAAGGTCTTAAGCTAAACACCATAAAAGATAAGAAACTGAGTGAAGGACTATTCATCTTCCTGAGTCCCACCTTTACCTCAACAGATACTTTTTGTCATTTCTGTCCTTTCGTCTCAAAATTTGCCACCAAATATTAGAACTTCTTCTTAATGCATATTTGCAGGGAGATTTAATTATTCATAGAATCGCATTTGTAACTTTGTAAATCTCCAAAGGGAAATATTATATCTGGGCAAGTAGAGTTTTAAATGACAATTATTTACCATGCCACTCTTGGGAAAATTGTTATAGTCACGCTACTATTTGCAATAGAACTATACACCGTGGCAGCACCCACAGTGTGGAATTCTGTTTGTAAAATTATAATTGCTGTAATATTTTGCCTGATTATCATCCTTATAACAGGATTAATAATTACAGGAGAAATTTAGTCAAGGTTGTTTTGCTTATAACAGGAGCAACAGTTACGGATAAGAAGCAAGCATAAAAGTTTTACTATCATTAAGTTCAATAGGACTTTTTACTAAAGATTGGTAATATA